GGAACATCACCTTTTAATAATGTTATCAAAGTTTTGTATATTCTATTATGGGACGTATGTATGCCGGGCTGGCATACCATAAACATAGCTCCGAAACACATAAATAAACTACAAACTATACAAAACACTTTAATCACCACAGCATACAAAGTACCTTATCAAAATTTATGCACAGATATGCAAACATACAAACAATAGCCGATAGACTCTTGCATAATGGTATAAATTACTTTGAGAAAAATTGACAAAACAATGACCTACTTTGTGAACTTGATCGTTATTACATACATGATGGAAGTAGACCCAAGTACCTATCATCTGTAAACATTTATTTTAAAAATAAGGATGTAATCAGGCCACCTACTGCTAGACCTTAAAACCGTACACTAGTTAGAGTTTAAGGACAATACATTTAAGAGGGTATTTTATGTAAAATGAATTTGATTGGCCTCTAACTAGTGAAATGTGTTATACGTATTATGGAACTGACTCAAGTAATGCAAAACACAGAATGTAACTGAAGATACATACATGGACATTGCCCTGAAAGGGGTCGGAGCAAGTGCGGTTTACTCCAACCCTCATGTCGTATCAACACCAACATTCACAGACGATAAAACACAGTCCGGAAAGGAGGAAGAGGTTTCCACGAACCTGACTCTCCTAGGTCACAAAGACCTAAATCCCGAACCGGAGAGAGAGAACAGGGTAAATATCTCTCTCTCCTGACTTGTATTTCTTTCTTTTTTTTTGGACTTTCTTTATGTGAGACTGGCGAACGGAGGTTAAGATTGATAGACGGTGTATTCCCACCATAATGGGTTGAATTTGCTGTTTTTAACGCAGTCCTTCCTTTTGATTTTATTTTGCATGACTGTTTAAGTATTAATTTTCTATATGTGTGTTTGTGTTTCTCTGTGTGTGTGTACAGAAACACACTAGTCAAACACCAAATACATACAGGAGTCACAATCTGGTGTGTATTAGCCATGATTTGAAAAGTGAAGCTCCGAAAACACAAACGTAGTAGGGGGGGTTTGAGTCATGCTCCTACGGAAATATTAAATTTCTTAGATGCTTTGAGATGCATTTCTAATAAGGAATTAATACAATTTAACAGTTTTACATCCAGTGATTCTCCGTGTGTTTAGCAAGTGAAATAATAGATAATGTTTTTATTTGTAGACCATTATTTCAGTTGTATCTCATTATCCTTCTCTTCAGGTTGAAGAACATATTAGAAGTATCATTAAAGAGGGAATTTTTAACGCGTGGCCATAGCTTACTCTAATCAACTGTACCGTAGAGAATAGCAAAATATTCTGATGATGCAAATCTTTATTTATCGAATACTCGTTTAGGTTTATCGTATTAGAGCAACGCACATAAATAACTTACTTTAGAATTTTGGAAAAGAAGTTATGTTTGTTCGATATAAATTATTTCTATTTTTTGCTAACAATATTGTTATGTAGTCATGCATAAGTAACTATGACGCCGTTTTAAAGGGTGGGGGCCATGGTCACCGATAAAACTTTTTAAATTATAGCCGCGTTTTTTGCGATTTATGGTCAAAAGCGATGATAATTTATCAATCAAAAGAAATATAGGTGATAAGTAACAATCTAGTTTAAATTCGCTGGATATATTAAATGGAACTTTCTGATCAACCATAAGAAAAAATTAAATTATAAGATGAAAATAAGTATTCTTTACTGCTTTTTTTAAATTTCACAACCTAAAAATTATAGAAATAATGAATCGTATAATATATGATAGGCTTAAAACTGATGTATTATGACAATAATAATAAAATTCATTTTCTAGTTGTCAGCCTATTTAAGAAATGCTGAATTGTGATAAATATATAGTTAAACCTTTACGTAGATTAAAGAATTAAAACCTTGGTCGTATAACAATATGGATATCTTGGACACTCTGTTGTTTAAAAATATTTAAGATCGAACAATTATTTGAACATAATAAACATATTCAAATAAAAATATACAATCACATGTATTATCTACAAAAATAAAATAATTTTACCCCGATACCAAGACAAATGTTATTTTTGATATCTTCGATCAGTTGTATCCATGCAGTTCTAAGTGGTTGTTGGTCATTGTTTTGGCTAACACCCACTAGCAGTCTTGTGCTTTGGATGTTAATAACTTATTTGAGTTTTCTTCTCCGTCAATTATGTTTAGATTTTTTTTAAAGTCTCCCATATAGTCGTTTTATTGAACGTGGAAGGCTATAGCCGATGTGTTTGTAACACAGTTTTTAATATCTTTTTGATGTTTTTAAATCTTATCTGTAACAGGCATTGTGTTTCTACAATGTATTCTTTATTACACTAATACTGACTGAGTCGGCCATCATGGAACACGTGTTTAAAAGTATTGTCATGTTTATTGTGGTGTAATATCACACAAACCACCGAGTTACGGATCACGTTTCACCGGCATACCATATCAGTTAATATCTTGTAAGTTACTGTTCTAAATAGCGTTTCGACCGTGACTTCATGCGTACATGGCCTACTTGATGAGCTCTGGTATTGAGCAAAAGGCCTCGCAGGTAGCGGCGTGTCTTACATATGGTTGATATGCTTTTATATTCTTCTTACTAGGAAACCATATACGATTCGTAAATAAAAATTCTTATTACTTATTGTGATATAATGTTACACAAAATACCGATCTTTAAGTCCCGATTCGTCAGAATAAGCGTTATATACCGTATGAGTTTTTTGATGATCAGTTGCTAGTCAGATTAACAGATAGAGAACATCGTAATTCCAATGAAGGCTGAAAACTTTTCAATCTTTACTAGACGTCTTAGTTCTCAAGATTTCTCTCCTCGTTTTCAACTAGCTCCACGAACTTCTAACTTCAGAATTTAACACAGTTTTTAAACGATAGAACTTACTTTTGCCCCTTAGAAGAAAAGACTAAACATTATCTTGTATTTAAAAATGATTTTTACTCACTTGATGTAATTTAATCGTTATAGAAGTTTATCTTCTTATTTTCCTTTAACAGGGATTTCGTTCAAGCTTCACCATTATCTGTACCTCTAAAATTAGTCAATCGTTAGGAAATATTTATGAAGACAACAGAACCAATCGTGCTGTCAAAGTCAGGAGGTCTTAGCTATCATAAAGATAGGAAGAGTAGCTTTTTTTATTTTGTTGTTGTTGTTTTGCTAACCATTCACCAGAAGATGATGCAAGCAGTGATCATTGACTCACACTTCGAAATATTTTTTTTTTTTACATTTCCATAAGACTGCATTTACTATATCCACAAGGCATCAGTGAGCACACACATAAAAGAGTAATAAATAATATGTAGGAATATAATATAATTTATTCTTTTATTTTGGAAAAGGGCACTTATTTTATATTCCACTTAATATCTAACTAGAAAGGAATTCAAAGACGCTTAATCCGCCACATAGTGAAATCTACTGATAATGTATCACCTTTCTGTTGACTTTTTTCATCACCAATTCTATAACAATGTAACATATCTATAATAGTCATGTAACTGTTGTTACACCTATTTGACATATAATATACGTAATGTGATGTTCACTTAATTAAGAAGCAAGCTGAAAATCTTTCTACATTATAATGTGTTATATTTTGACTGACTTATCAATACTTCTACGAAGATTAAGAGGGCGACTTCTTTTTCTCAATCACAACATGCAACGACTTATTTTTAATATGTATATTAGTTTTACTTTAAAATACAATTACAATTGAAATATAGATAATATATATATTCTAATGTGGCGCAGCTCCAAAGGCTGAAATTATAATAAATGTCATTTCTCTTTAAGATTCTCAGAAAAAGAAAACGTTATCGCTTAGCCTGGTTGATTTGATATTTTTACTAAGAATTTATCCCTGATTACTCAGAATATGACATCTAGATTTAGGATATATAGATAACATACAAACAAGTAAATAGGCACTCCAAGAATACAACTCGACTATCTCCATTATGTCAATAATCATGACATATAAACACTGGAATAGCTCAATAAAGACACTATAATGCAGCAAGCCATGTTAAAAGTTAACCATATTTTCACGAAGTCGCATAGTTGGGCAAAAGGAGTGCGGTCAAAGTCAGCAGGTCATTTGAAATATTGCTGTTCACAGTTCTCGAGAAAGGCATGCAATCTGTCAACATCGATAACCAACTTACTAGAAAAGTCAGCGTTTCTGTGCAAGATGGGTGTTCCTACACGATCAGCCTGAGCCAAACATTGCCACTCTACTCTGCAACCAGGCCAAACACTTGGTATGAACATCATCAATAAAGCGTGGTCCATTTTGGATCATTCAGAGCTAAAGCGTTTCAACCAACCAACTTCTATAACCGAGTTCATCGCCAGGTGTAATCTCACCAACCTAGATTTCAGATCTTGTAAATACGACGTGTAACCGTTTTTCTGCTTTAAATATTGCAAAGGACAAGTCAACCAGATAAAAACTAATGGCAATCTTGTACTCTTTGCTTCATGTTTACTTAACAAAACAGCATTTTTTTATGAAAAGGTATCTGTTTACTTATGGGTAGGCGGTTTATATACGACATTATTTGGTATTAGAAACTACACAGATCATATATCCTGTCCTGATACTTCAGAACACAGTATCATTAACACTTCCATACTTTCGTTCTTGCGTAGATGAATTGTTTTTCTTAATTTTACCTGAATAAGTCGAGTCTGTTAGTAGTTCTGCGTTGCCACTATTCACAACTGTGTTAAAACTATTATTCATGTCCTTCTGATATATTTCCTTTTTAATTGAATCTAGAACTGGCATTGCGCCACCTTGCAGCTTCTGTATTTTGATGATATTTTCTTGAATATTAGTCACACAACGGAAGATATCTAGTTTAGCTGGAAGATGGTTCATTTCAAATATCCACTTTGTGATACCCGATATTGCCAGTAAGGTTATTAGACTGGCTAACATGGACAAAGTTCTGAAAGGAAATCGCTGACCACTGGTTTCACTGAAGAATGGGTAGTGAATAACTGGTTCGAGTCCAAGGATACTTTCTCCACCTAGAGCTCGAAGCAAAAACCCTACAATATATGCACTTAATGACCCGTAGGTGTTACAGTACTTTTTGAGGTGGACAACACAAAGCAGCTGAGGAAACAATATGACGTAGATGAGATCAGATGATAGGTACCAAAGGCCATAGACAGACTTTACCGTCAATGCCATGGCTGTAGCTAAGATTCCAACTACCAAAATAGAAATCCTAATCACCCACACTACTTCTCGTTCTGATGCCTGTGAAGAAAGATTATGTATAGGTTCAGTTACGTAAGCAGTAATTTACATCAAAACTTTAAGTCTTAAAATACTTATAGTTTGAACTTAATGTTATCATAAAATATTGTGCTTTTAATTAAATAATTATCAGTAAAAAACAAAGTTCTATATAAAGGCAAGCAGCATCATATTTACATGGACTTTATTTTAATGTATACAAAATCGCATTGAAAAACAAATTACATATGACAAACAGCTGTGCACTAAACCTATTTAGAATGACCAAAATATTTTCAAACATTTTTCTCTGACCTTCTAAACAAAATTCCAAATTTTCCGGACCTGCACGCGTAAAACACACTAATATTTCAACTTTTTCTCATAAATCTAATTAATTATCATTACTTTATCTTGTAATCTTATTATAAAGGGTAACAAAAATTTTATACAATACGCTACATTATGGTACTAAACAAATAAAAGATCTTGAGACAAGAACATTGCATTTTTCTTTACAATCTAATTTATCATCAAGTATAATGAATTATTTAGTTATAAGATAAAATGACATAGAGTGACGGACCAAATTCTGTGGAGATTTACCAATAACTGGGATAGCTAAGCATCATGGTTTGTGGGAACTTACAGATTATAACTGTAAAAGATGAGGGGTGGGACAATTTCTCCGACTTTCCAAGATTCGTGATCATCTTAATAATGAATAATTTAATTGACTAGATGAAGCACGAAAATGGAGAAGGTTTCTTCGCAATTGCACAGCAAGCTCCTTCAATTTTATTTATTCAACAATATAAAAATATATGAAAACATTGTCTGTGAATTGTGGATTGCAAAACAAATATTCAAATTAATAAATCTCCAAACGGCACACGATTAAAAAAAATACTAACTTCTATGTTAGATATCTTACTTTCTGCCGAAATATGAGCTTATAGACGTTTCTAGAGAACAAAGAACTGGCACTAAGAATAGAGGAATCCGAAGAAGACATAACAGCAGCAGAAACAGCACCGAGCCCGAAAAATGAGACAGCTGTAGGAGTAAGGTAATGTAACACCAGGGGGAGCACCAGAGAAGTGTCATTCGGTGTCAGCGGCATACCGAGAGCAGTCTCGTTCCAAGCTATTAAATAAAATCAATATTATCGTCAGAAAAATAAAAAATGAATTTTACAATTAAACACTCTTAATGGTACTGATAAATTTATTGATTAGTATAACGATTTTAGTCAAGATCGCAGCCTTTATTTGAGGGGTAAACTTAATAAGCTGATAATTGACCTGACATTAAAGAAACTTACCGATGTAACCGTGAAGACGAAGTTAGTTAAGGTTTATAATGGCTGGAGACGGCTTAAATGGGTAAT